AACAAGTCGTTAATTAACACAAAATTCAAAGTAACGAATCAGAAATCAAAGGCGTTTTATTTGAACAGTCAACGCAACAAAGGACGCGCTTATGTGTGTGTATGTCTACATGCATAAGAGAGCGGTCATTGTCTTTACCATGAATGAATGAATTATAAATGTTTTTCTTTCTATATTGAACTAGCGTGTTCATCGGCAATTTGTGTAGTTGAGAGGCCGATCGAAAGGGAAAGTTATTGATGAATTACAAAAAGAATTCACACCGTTTCATTTCAAATCAAAATCGTCAAAAAGAAATTAAATTTTCAACATGTTTTGCTTGAATTTGTGCCATAAAACAAAAAAAAATGTATAAAAAGTCTAACTTTTGACTCAAACACTCTCTGTCAAAATACAATTATCCATTTTTCAAATGAGTTTTTTTTTTACTTTCGAAACAAACATACTTTTCCACCTGATTTTTTTTTTTGTTGTTTTTAATTAATGGTCGTTAATTTTTCTCATTCGGACTTGCTTTCCTGTCGTTCATAACTCATTTTCATTTACGGTGTATGACATATTTTGGGGCATCGTTTACTTAGAAGAGTGTGCACACTTTGGTGTCAATTGAGCGATAGGCAAATGTCTTATGGCATGTCAAATAATTCTCGTCGATAAATGCTTTCTTCGCTTTAATTATCGTTTTATTAGTGTGGCACAGTGATTAATCTTCCTAAAATGTAACTTAAACATGCGTAATTTTATGAAATGTGTGAACAACGTATGCATTAGTCCATTTTGTAATTTTATCAAGAAGCTCAATTATTCAGTCGTGCCGCCGTTGTTGTTCCATTTTAAACTCTATTTGTTGGTTTGAAGAGTCAACCTGTAAGAAAATGAACGCCAAACATAATTACGAAATCATAGCAATTTTTTTATTTGCACATAATTTAACTGCACGTTCTTGCTGTTTTTTATTTTTCAAATGATTCGTCATATATCACAACAAATCATCATCTGATGATTCAAAAAAATAAAAATATCAACAAGTTGAAAATCTTGATCTGTATATTTGACCATAGACATTTCAACAATTTGATACATGATTTTTGAATTGACATAATGCTTTTACGGTAGAACAACAAAAATTTGATAATTATGAATCGAAATTAAAATAAAATGAAACGTAATTCACTTTAAATTGGCCGTTCCGACATTTATTTATGTTATGTGTTTCTTTGATGATAATGTTTACGGAAATGTATTGGTTTGTTGATTGCAAGTTCTTTTTTTTTTATTTCAAAGCGGTAAATCTATCAATATGCGTGGTAAATCTTTCAACTACTCAAGTAACAATCAAAATAGAAAAAATCATTTTTGCACCTTCAACCGAAAACCATTTCAACGAATATAAAAACGTTATTTATTTTATGAAACATTATAAATTTTGATAGGCACGCTGAAAACGATGGCTCTTGAGTTTAAAATATTTTTTTAAAATATTAATTTCCTGTTTGTCTGTTGAAAAGAGAGCAGTGGAAATGCGAAAGAAATGTGAAAGGAAAAAAAAACAATAAAAAATGACTGACAACGACGCCACCGTCGCCCGAACATCCAAATGCGTTAGAGATACAACTTTTATGACATAAACAATAATAAAAGAAAATTCATTTGATGTTCATTGTATATTATAGAATTTTCGAAGTTTTTTCTTCCACCTTTATGAAAATATAAATTGGTGATATTTATTTGTTTACTAAGCTCGATAATCGGAACGATAGAACAATCGTTGCCATACCAAATATCTATTTCAGTTTCATTCCATTTGCATGCCACGGAGATTTTTGACACCTCAGTAAAAACCTGAAGTGTTTTTTTTTTGCTGCATTATTATTGAGACACTGATGATCTATAATTTCACTTCTGATATAACCTCGTTAATAATGACGAGATTTTTTGACTTGATTTTTCTCATTTACACGTGTTATTTATTCATTTTCAAGCACTGAAAATAGCAGGCAATGAAATGTGTAATATTAAATGTTTAATGCGATATTAGAATTTGTATATGTTTAAGATATCTTTGACGCACAGCCGTGCGAATCATGCGAAAAGCATGTCTTTACTGTGGAACCGCTTACACTTGTATTTGTATTGCATTGAAACTCATTCAAAGACGCGATACAAACGCCCGAAATGATTCGCATGACTGTGCGGCAGATATCTACAAAACCTGATACCATTCTAGAAATATCATTGTCAACTATTTTCAGTGTGAGCAATGCTGAGCAGCGAGAGCAGTATATTTGCTGAATGAATATCCACTGATAATTTTGGACGCTGATTCTCAGCCGCTGATCGTGTAACAACACAACATCAGTACAAAAGTTCATCGCATATATTTTTGCATTCTCTTTTGTGCGAACTTTCTTCAAATCTGTGCTGCGTTTTATTTAACGCGCTCAGCGGCTGAGAATCAGCATCTGAAAATATCAGTAGACATTCATTCAGCAAATATACTGCTCGATCATTTTGTGTGCATGTTATATATTTCGTTGTTATTTGCATTGTTCAATTCTATATTCTCTCTCTTAGATAATTGACGCCCACCTTTCATATATATCATACATAAATATTAGTGTCGCATTTGAGATACGTGTATGGTTTGGCGTGTTTAATTTTTTCCTTTCTCATTTGAAACTGGAATGGAGTAGAGAATGAAAAGGCTAAATGTGACATGATTTTGTTTTTCGTTCAAAAACAATTTCAACTAAACACGATAAAAAATTCCAAAATGTAAAATTTATCTTTTGGGATGAGAGTCAGCACGAACTTAAATTTCTTCATATCCAACCAGCAATGCACCCATTGAAAATTGCGCAGCTGAACTATTTGTTTTTATTTATCTTAAAATGCACGCGGCACAAACATCAATTGTATTTGTTGATATTTTTGAATGCTATTAATAATTTCACTTGACGATTCAATGGTTGTACTGTATTTCAGATGCACATGTATGTGAGTACACCGATTATCTTCGATGTCGATATTGGATTTTCAAAGAGCGGCTGCTCAGGCATAAAACAAACGAAATATTCATAACAATAATCAATCCAATGGAAACCAATATGAATTAAGATTTTTAAGAAGTTTTTCCGGCGTATTGCTTATTGCACATGCGCCCGTCTTTTGCCCGTTCTCTCTCTCTCGGTGTGTGTGCGCTTGTATTTTTAAAATGATTGAATTCGTTTTTAAAAATGGCATATGCACCTGTCTGTTAAGCAGCAATAAAAACAACAACGGCTACAGTAACAGTTGTATTGTATTATCGTTTACGGTTAAATGTTTGGATAGGCACGCGCCATTATTGAAAGTAAAGAACGGAATTTCCGAAACATTTAACAGAATAAGAATTAAAATCTTCATGTTTTGAGTATACATATGAACATGAAACTATTAAAAATGTATTTGTAGCTAAATAAAGAGTACTGTACAGCGTAGTCAGATATGAAAAATACACCGCATGTCGAATATATAAGCGCACGCATTCATATTCAATTAATATTGTGGAGCAGGTTTATCATCAGTGGCTGGCTTATTACGAATATAGCTAATGGAAAGGAAACACGATCCATTTCGAGTGAACATATTCCGGCGTATACAACACCTACAACACAATCATTTGTGCATGAAAACGTTTTCAATTCGAGTCACTCTCAATCTTTCTATCTCTCTTACTTTCCCTTCTTTGAATCTTTGGAGCTTACGAAAATAGTTCATTTTGCGATACAAATACTGAGTGGAATTACGTTTTACGAGTGTATGTGGTTGTGTGTTGCTTATCGAAAGGAAATGCATCACTTATTTTTCACTTTCATTATTATTGCTACAACCAACACCGGACGGAAATGTAATTATTCTCACATATTCTCTTTTTCGATTTACTTTTAAAAAAAATTACCTCTCCAAATCGAAGGGTCACTTTTCATTTTAAAAGCATTTTTATTCTCTCAATTCGTTGATTTTTTTCGCTCAAGAATTTTTTCCGTGTGGATGTATCATTTTTTTTATATTCATATGAAACAATTGAATAAATCGTTTAAAAAATGATAATACTAATTCATGTAGTGGCCCTTATCGCTTATATGTATATGAAGCATTTGTTGAAACGAGGCAAAACGTTTTACGATGGACATAAATTGAGTTTATACTTTTATTTTACACACTTGCCTTGGCCAATGCGCACAAACACACACTAGCTTGATTATTTGACGGTGAGATTCCGCGAATTAAATGTTGGCAAAATTATTGTGGTTGTTATCAAAAACAACCTTATTCCAATTTACCAAATTGCGAGAGAAAAAAGCACATGACGGTATAAAATATGAAACTATTCTACTTACACAGAAATGTACGTGTACACACGTCGATTTTGATTCATGAATCTAATCTATTGGCGGTGACCTATGACCATCGTTTCACCGCCATGTAAATGTGCGGCAGAAACGAGCAGAAAAAAATATATTATTTATTCCGCCAAAACAAAGCCGTACAACAAACGACATATTTATTGAATTAAGTATTTTTACGTGTACACGAATTTTGAATCATCGCCATTTCAAAGAGAAAGAATGTATGCAACGCTTAAAATACCCAAGACTATTGTATTATTATTAACAATAAAGGATTCAAACGAAAAAATGATGCTTTTATTTTTATGTTCGGTTTTGAAAACGATAACAAACATTGCGAGTCATCGAATAAATTGTTGATCAAAAAGTCGAGCCCACGAATCATTTGCTACAAAAACAAACGTCAGAACGAGATAGAGAATAAAAACGGTTACAGTGCCTTGCACCCATGTGGCAAACGTCGTGCCTTAGTTTGATGTATAACAACAGGAAAATGAATTCCGATTTGATTCTTTTATTCGTTCAGAAATTATGCATATATGTACTTATTATGTAGTGAATTAATATATAAAATAATTTGGTTTTTTCTTTTTTTTTTCATGATTTCAGAGCTGTAAAAAGTGTCAAAAATCATTCGCCAATGTGTATCGTCTACAACGTCACATGATTAGTCACGATGAATCGGAATTGCTACGCAAATTCAAGTGCAACGATTGTGATAAGGCGTTCAAATTTAAGCATCATTTGAAAGAACATATTCGCATACATTCGGGTGAAAAACCATTTGGTTGCCGTAATTGTGGTAAACGATTTTCACATTCCGGCTCCTATTCAAGTCACATGACATCAAAGAAATGCATTAATTCGGGACAAAAAGGAAATCGTTCGGTGAAAATGGAAAAAACTGGCACACAAAAGCGTTCTGGATTTTTATCACAACAATTGCCGAATGTAAACAATGTTGGTCTTGGTGTCGGATTGAATTTGAACGAAAACAATAATTTGCCAACAAGTCCAAATCATAATGCATTCTTATCAATGATGCCGAAATACCATGGTTACGATGTAAATGCATTGCTAGCATTCGGTAATTTGCCAAATCCATTCCTTATGATGGATCCACGTCATCACATTCACAGTATACAAAGTTTATTGGGATTGACTGGTGCACCATCCAATGTGATGGAAGGTTTTCTCAATAATTCGCATAATATTAAAACGCCAAGCCTCCATTCGGATCCGGAAGATATGATCGAAGAGGTGACTGATGATATAAACGATGAATCGGGAAAATTAGTTATGGACATTGATGGCGATGAAAGTGAAAATAAAATGAAAATTGAAGATATGTCACCATCGCCAGCAATCAGTGTTAGTAGTCCAATATCGTCACCGAATTCAATTCAAGATCGTTGTGAATTGATGAAAAAAGAAGACAGTCGCAGCGAAAATGGTTATGATAATAACGATTTGACATGCGGACGATGCAGTAAGACATTCAATCATCGCACTGAATTGGCACAACACGAGACCATTCTATGCGGAATGATACGAAAACAAGAAGAGGCCTATGCAGCAGCTCAAGCTCATGCAGCTGCCGCTGAAACGATGACAATGAATGCAAGCTTTGCAGGAATGGGACTACCAAATCAACAACAATCGGGCAGTGAAGATGAACGAAAAGTACGCGTTAGAACTGCCATTTCAGAAGAACAACAAGCCATTTTAAAAGAATACTATGCAAAAAATCCAAAACCAGGCCGAGACGAATTCCGAACAATTGCACAAATTTTGTCATTGGATTCGCGTGTAGTTCAGGTCTGGTTTCAAAATAATCGTTCACGCGAACGTAAACTCAATAACATGGGATACTCAAAGCAACATCAATTGTTTGTAAACGGCCAATTGTCGGCCGCTGCTGCTGCAGCCGCTGCCGCTGTTGTTGCAGCTGACAACAAATCACAATCAAATAATACAAAGATTCCATTGCCAATTCCATTGCAACAGTCGATACTCAATAGCCAATTATCGCCAAAATTCAATCACAGCCCCGTTGAAAATATGGACGATCAACCTCTGGTGGGTGCAATTTTATTTTATCTTCATTTCGAACTAATACATTTGATTAAGAATAAAAATTTAATGTATTTTCTTTTTACATTTTTTCTACAGGATTTATCAGTAAAGAAGGAAGGTTCAATTTCAACGCCATCAAATTCACCACGATATGGAACGGCACCGTTGCCATCTGAAGAAGTTATAAATCTAAGTCGAAAATCATTACCACATTATCCTTATGTGCCACCATTGGGTTTCGTACCAATGGAACGTTTTCTAAATATAGCACCTGAAATGGCTCGAAATAGTCTTGTGTCGGACAGTGTGAGCCCAGTATCAGAAAAACAACAACGTATATGGAAGGAAGAGCTTCAGTATGTCAAAGATACATTCAATGGAAATCTTTCACCAAAACAGCCAATTACACAATCTCAAGCACCGGCTAAACGATCCTATGTTAAACAACAAGTTCCTGAAGGCGAAGGTCAATTTATTTGTGATGAATGTGACAAAGCATTCAACAAGCAGAGCTCATTGGCGCGACATAAATACGAACATTCTGGTTAGTATAGTTATAAACACATGTAAAACAATTTATTTTTATTATACTTTTCACTTGGACGAAACTCGTCTATGGTGGTTTATTTATTCATAATTATAACTTTATAATAATATAAAACTCTCCCTTTCTTTTCTACTTTACAAAATGTGAAAAACAACAGGTCAGCGTCCGTATAAATGTCAGGATTGTACAAAAGCATTCAAACACAAACATCATTTGACCGAGCATAAGCGACTGCATACAGGTGAAAAACCGTTCCAATGCACAAAATGTTTGAAAAAATTCTCGCATTCAGGATCGTACAGTCAGCATATGAATCATCGCTATTCGTACTGTAAACCATATAGAGAAGCTTAAACTAAGGTAATCGCTGTCAACTGATTTGAAATCACATTACAATTCATATGTGAATTCGTTAAGCGAACAATTGAAGACAAAACTACAACAATAAGTTAAAATGAAAATAAACCAGACAGCCATTTCGATAAAAAAAAATTCTATATGTATATGTAAACGTATTTAATATATAATTGATAGAATTTGGGTGATTGAAATAGATAAAAATTAGAAGGGAAAACAACCGCAAAATAATTTACCAAAATATGTACATTAAACACAGTTCCATAGATTTGAATCTCCATTTGAGATGTGACGTGCGACTGATTTTTTTAGAGGAAAAAAAGAAATTCTCTCTCTAATTTTGTACTTAATGATGAAGAGAAAGAATTCATTTTTTTAACGAAAAGAATTTACGTTGATTTCCTTTCTCTTCTTTTAATTGCATCAATAAAATACAACGATAAACGAAGAAACAAAAAAAAAATCGAAAAAAGAACATAAAATATTAAAAAACACATTCAAAAATCATTCCCATTATAATGTAGGTTTATAAAATGCGCAAATGTGTGTATTTATATGAAAGAAGATAGATATTTCTAAGCCACGAATTCATCGTTGCCAATAATCTGAATTACTTCTAACAATTAAGAAAATACAAACTGTACATAATGGCTGCTCAATGGTCCATGCAAAATGGTTGAGAGAATATGTGTAATTATGAACAGTACCACAGATGGTCTGAAAATGAGATGAACATTAATGTAAGGTCCACTATATAAAATGAGAGACGGTAAATAGTTACAATATATTTTTTAAAATCGTTTTTAAATATTATTATTATTTTCCTTTCTTAAAATCGATCTGAATGATTCTTTCACATTTTTTTTTATTTTAAATGTAACCTGTAAAACCTGTAGGGTAATAGTATAATGGTGTTGTTTTTTTTAAGTATATTTTATATTTTTCTGTTTTTACAATTTTACCGAATGGCATTGTTTTATTTTATTTTTTCTTTATATCTTTTATTTACTTCATTTAAATCTACTCTGAAATTGAAGAATCTGTTTGGAAAATGTTCCCTTAGAAAAATAGAAATGTAAAGGAGCCATTTAAAAAATATCAAATTAAACAGATTCTTTCTTCCCTTTATTTGATTCTCATATAATTTAAACAGACAGATTTGTTCGGACCTCAAAAGAAATGAACTCTTGAGTAAGGTCGAACGGTGTTTATATAATTTATGTACAATTACGAAAAGATTTTCGACTCCAAATTTTTAAAAAACTAAACATGTATGCCATTTACAAATTCGACACTATGTCTTTTTTATTAAATCAAACTGTTGCTATTTCCAATGTCCCCTCTCTTGTTTTATGATTTATTACATAGATGAAGTCATTCGATAGAGATAATATATATTGAGAGCATTGTTTCAGTAAATAAGGCCTTATTTCTTTTTTTCCATATTATACGGTACCTGATCATACCGATACATTTGCATTTATTTTATGCACCAATCACATAATTCGATTAAACACAACGAATTTTATTAATTTGAAGAAAAAAATTAACAAAATTTCCATCAATTTTAAATAGTATGTACTCAAAGGTGAACGAATAATTGAAAAAAATAACAATCGGCATATATCTATCACTGAAGGCTGGGTCTTTCGCAATTTTTTTCAAAATTATCACAATCAACTTTGGTTTTCGTTTTTTTTTTTAATCAAAGATTCTTTTTGGCACGAAAAAATGTTTTTTTTTTGTCAATCCTGTATCGCGTGCTCAATGGACATTCATGTCATACTTTAAAAATTCCAAAATTATAACGATAAACACTTTCTGAATGATATAAAAATGTGGTTCATTCGGCACTCGGTTTGGTACCTAATTATAATGATATAATCCATTTCTTCCCAAGCGTTTTGTCTTTGTTTGTTCCTTTGTCAAAAAATAAAAAAAATGATTCGTAAACAGAGAGAGATAGTTCATAGCATCAACATAAATAGAAGAAATCAACGAGATCGGTTGAACGATGCATAATTTTGGACCACAAGGTGTTAACAAGACAATACAAAATATTTATACCTTTAAAGAAAAAAAACTATTTGAAATGAAATAAACAAAAAAAAATAAGGTTTAAAGTAACAAAAAAAATATTTGATATTAATAGCGCCTACAATTTAGAAATAGTTGTTAATAAAGAAATGAAGAATGAAAAACTATTCGAAGTTCAAGTTGATAAAAATTGTACAACTGTGACACTCAACCGAGATGATTAAAACACAAAAGAGATTTATCGCTTCGACGTGTCCTTTTTTTTATTTAAGTAAGTAATCTACACACACACACACACTCAGTACTTGTCATATGCTCAAATTTGAAATTGCAAAAGCTATAGAGGTGAACAATTGAATTTTTAAATATTTTAACAGCTTTGCTATGATTTCACCATAAAACGAAAAATAAACTTAGACCAATGAATGTCTCGTATCTTTTAGTTGTTCGCAAAATAACGAAAAAAAGAAATGGAGATGCTCATTGAATGAAGCAAGACGTATAACAAATTTGAATATGTTGAATATGATGAACATTATTAGAACAATATTTACAATTCAAAAAATATCTATTCTAGATACAATAAGAATTAAAGATATTAAAATTAAATAAGATTTATGCAGTGTCTTTATCGTAATTAATTTGAATTTTTTTTTTTTCTTTAATAAAAAGAACTTATTTAAAACAACGAGCATTCAATTCAAACGAAAAACCACAAAAAAAAACACAAATGATGGGATTATATTTCGTTATGGTTTCGATTTTTCATGTCAAATGTCAACATCCTTTTTGAATTCATTTAACAAAAAAAAAATTTAAAGCAAACAAAGTCTCATTCTTATTTAGATGTAAAATTGCAGAATTATTTTAGCAATTAAGTCAGTAAAAAATTGATATTTACGTATTAAAAAAAATACAAATTAACAAGAAAAAATTATATATTAAAATGTTATTACAGATATGTATTATTACTGTAGAAGATAATCTTGAAAATACGCTGAGCATAACGTAAATAATCGCCAAATGAAAGAGAAAAACACATACCTACATTAAAATAATTCGTTGCAATAATAACTGACGAATCAACTAATACGAAGAGAGAGAGAGAGAGAGAGAGAGAGAGAGAGAGAGAAAGAAAGAGAAGAAAACAAGTTTTAATCATTCCATGACATTTTTGTTGGTTTTTAGTTTTCATTTTCGACTACGAATAAAAAAAATATTAATGATTAATTGTAAAATAGCTGGATTGAACATTTTTGCAAAAAGATTTCGGAAAATTCAAACTAAAGTAACACAATAAAGAATAGAAATCAACGTGACTCGAATAAACTATAAAAAATAAATTAATCATAAAAATGAACGAAAAAAGAAAAGAAAAACTATGATGAAATGAAACGCTTGGTCTTGCACTTTCGAAAGTATGGGTCCATTGTCCGATTCAATGTCCAAAATTGTCTGCGCAAGTTTGCTTTTAAGCCATATTGAGAAACATATATATTTTTTTTCGTCACAAATCATATTTAGTTGTAACAATTGTTTTTAATACATGTTCAGTATACAAGTATTTTATTAATGGATGTCAGTATTATTATATGGAAGTGCTGAAAATTTGTTTTACATTGATTCGGCAAAATTTTATTCGGGCAACATGTGAGACACAGCTAATATTTAGTACATACAAATCATATTGACAATAATATATCTTTCTACGTATTGTAGAAATTCAACGATTGTATTTCCACAAACACACAACCACACAACACAACACAACACACACATATATATATATATATATATACAAAAATCAACCAAGTTTCAATCTCGTTTTTCTTTTTTATTAGTGCATCCATATTATAAGATGCTCAGACAGTTTGTTATGTACAAACAACAACATGTTTGATGGAACAGAATTATATTTAAAAAAAGGTTTCCAAAACAACGAACATTTAAAATTATTCTGATGATTATTATTTGTATCCCTTTCCTTTTTTTTACTTACTTTAATACAATTACTTACAACAACAACAAAAAAAAACCAATGAAAATCAACGAACAAACACTCATACATACTCACAAGTTCTATAAAGTATACATAAAGCATGTGTATGAAATTTTTGAATCTATTCAAATAAAATTGCAAATTTAAAAGATGAATGAAAAGAGAAAAAAAAAATTAATAGGAGGAAAGATGAAGGTAATGACTAAACTATAACAACTTCGAACGTAATATGCAATGCAAATGCTAGACGTTTTTATTTTTAAGTGTAAATTTTTTCTTGATGACAATTCTCAGCAAAATCAACAGAATTGAAGCTAGTTTCCCAAAGACATGTACATAAAGTATATTATACTAACTATTATTATGATAATTCAAGAATAAATAAATTTCAATTGAAAGCATTCACAAAGTGCGTTTGTAATTTCGATTTCGATTTTAAATGAACATTTGACAGGGAATTCTCAAGATGGAATTGTAAGTATGATTAATTGATGTCTGATTCGTCAGTTGGATATGATTCACTGAATGCTTGTTTCAATCAAAGTCTTTCATTCAAAGTGAGCAAACAACAATCGGTCTTTTCTTTAAATCGTGATATTATTCTTTCAAAAATTGTAATTGTTATGAATGAATATGTCTTATGTCTTGAATTTTTGTTTTGTAATTTTTTTACTTGGCAGAAAATTCAAAACTCAACGAAAAATCAAATGGGACAATTCAACGATAAAAAAGCTTCCCTGCAAGCTTTTTCACAGCTTTCGAATCGCATCCGAATATTTCTAACAGTGTGAATCGATAAATTCGTTCATAGATGGCACTCGCCATTTTAATCTGTTTTTTTTTTTTTAACTTGTCTATATGTGTGTGTTTTCTATAACCAAACGAAAAGCAGTATTCATCTAGTTTATATTGATCACAATTTTAATGATTTTATTCAATAATTTTTACCAAATTTTAAGATTTAAATCGATTGAATCTTGTTCTGCTATGGTGAAAACTAGGTATGTTATTGAAATGTTTATTTAAAAAATATCCCGAGTATATACCACGTTTTAACCTTCATAAACTGTTTAAAAAATATTCATTACATAAGACCAATTTGATCCACCGGATTATCAACCTTTTATTATTGATTATTATCATATCTTATTTAACCATCAGTGGTGCAGAAATATCTTCTTTTTGGCCAAAATGTTATAAATTTAAAAAATCTCTAAGAAATGCCCAAAATATGCAACATTTCAAATAAATAAACCGGCACCCTAATGCAAAATTCATGAAATTGGCCATAGATGGCAATATTGGTTTATTTCATAGTATTTTTTATTTGATATTCAGTCAAGGGGCACAGTTGACATCCAAATAACATCGTTTTAACGATGTATAACTGTGTGACTGTTTTTCTTTGAAATTATTTAAATTCACTTTCACATTAATGTTTTTTCTGTCAATTTTTTTTAAATTAAACAACTGTTAAGCCTGACATATAGACGGCACTAGTTACCAATTGTTCTTGTGCTGTAATTGACGTACGAACTGTCAATAGTATTGCGTAAAAAAATTGAGTTGATATTTCGTCGTTTGTTTTCAAAAACATTACATACCAAGTAACCTCGATATTTTTGAAAAAATGGATAAAATTGAATATCGTGCGGTGGTTAAGTTTCTCACAAAAGAAGGTGTGACACCAAAGGATATCAATGATCGCTTACGTGATGTTTATGGAGTTCTTGCTCCATCGTATGCCACAGTAAAACTATGGGCAAAACAGTTCAAATGGGGTAAAGAATCATTGGAAGATGATCCTCATACAGGTCGACCAATTGAAGCAACAACTTCAGATGTAGTGCAAAAAATTGAACATCACGTGCACGAAAATCCTCGAATCAGCAAGAAAGTGTTAGCAGAAATGTTTGACATCTCAGAGAAGAGTATTTACAACATACTTCATGAAAAATTGCACATGAGAAAGGTTTGCTCGCGATGGATTCCAAGAACTTTGAACAAATCACAAAAAGAAGAACGAATTGCTGCTGCACACGAGTTTCTCGATTTGTTGGAATGGAATGAAACGGACACATTTGAGCGAATAGTGCCTGGCGACGATTCCTGGATCCACTACTATGATCCAGAGCTCAAATCACAGACGATGGAATGGCACAAACGTGGTGAACCAGCATCGAAAGTGCCACGCAAACAAATTGCCACAAACAAGGTAATGGTCTCTGTATTCTGGGATGCCAAAGGCATTATATTGGTTGAATTCCTTCCAAAGAACACCACAGTCACGGCCTCTTATTATGCACAACAGATACATAGATTGCGTAAAGCGATCAGAGAAAAGCGTCCTGGTTTGCTGACTCGAAAAGTTCTTCTTTTGCATAACAATGCACCGTCTCACAAATCATTGCTTGCACAAGCTGCCATCAGGGAATGTGGATTCGAACAACTCCACCATCCACCGTATTCTCCAGATCTGGCACCCAGCGACTATTTCCTGTTCCCAAACACCAATAAATATCTGAAGGGGAAGCAATATGAGTCCGAAGAAGAGATATCGGACGATATTTTCAACGTATGGAGGGACAAAGATGCCGAGTGGTTTGAAGGAGGAATTAAAGCATTGAAGCATCGATATGAAAGTGTCATTCATGTTCATGGAGACTACTTTGAATAATAAATATTGTCATTTAAAAATACAATGTGTGTTTCTATATCAGTTTTAAAAAAATTTCCACCCCCTGTAGTTATTCTAACTCCGCACCGGCCATGGTGTGGCCAAAGTATGAATCTTGTGTGCCAACCGTCTCGACATTGGTAAAAACTTCAAATTTTTCTGAATTCGAGACAAAAATTTGTTGTTTCGATACACACATAACCTTAATATTTAACTTTCAGAATGAAAGAGATGATTTGCAGGTTGTCAAGCCGAAAGAAATGAAAGGGATTTTCTGGACCATAAATGGTTGATTATTTTTAGTATTTTTCATGATTTAACATTGGACAGTGGCCAATTGAAAACATCCCTTAATGCTGACTCATTTAGGTCGCTGAAAAACTCTTCCATCTGATTGCTCATTGAAAATTGAGCGAAAATTTGTTATTTTTACATTATTTGGTATTGTGTTATGTGTTTCGATAAAATTGCGAATTTGTACAAATCGTGATTGCGCTTACTGCTAATTCATTTTAACAGCGATTGATGATTTAAATTAGTAAAACTCCATTTTCCGCCTTTTATTGACACGATTTTCGGGTGTGCACGCAAAAATAAATTCTCCACTTTTGTTATAAATTGAGCAACCATCTTGATCGAAAACAATTTTATTTCCATTTCAAAACATTCGATAAATCGATAGCAAGTTTGCACTTAAGTCCGGAATGTGCAAAATATCGTTGACCTCAATGATATGAATATTTACTGTTAATGCTGTGTCAGCCGCATATCTTACCTTCAAACATTCATTGCTTGGAGTTCGGATTTCATTTCTGCTGGCATTTCGTTCATCGCTTGAAATTTCATTGAACGGTTACTAAAGGTAATATGAATTTTGGCACCGCTGCCTAAAAACCTTACAAACTTTCAACATACCAATAGAAATAAGTGCATTCTGCATTGGCTTTTAAAGATCTTTATTTGATTCATCTCTCCTCTTTTCATCTTTTCTTTGAAAGCACCTATTTGCCATGTGATCTGAAAGAGACTTACATTTCATTCCATCAGAACTGTTTTTTTACATTATTTTTTTTTCTGAAGAAGATGATGGCTGTGAATAAATTTTGATGTAATTTCATCAGCCAAAACCTGCTGGTGGTTGGCTTAAACCGTTCGTTACTCGGCGTTGCATTTCATTGCTTTGCCTATATAAGTGGAATTAATATTGTCACCAATAAAATTTGATTGGTTTGAGATTGCTTGATAATGTATTGGAATCTATACGGGCAGCATTTGAATGAAATGCCGGGAATGCTTTTCTTTAAAGATGCTCGCCTTTCACATCCAATATAGTTGGAATCTTTCGTAAGCTTAACCAGGATTCGTGGACTTTATGTATAAAAAACAGACTTACCATCACTCAGCCATCGTGACACAAAAACTACCGTGCCGGTGACCGGACTGAGTCGATTTTCTCCGTCGACGTTGAATATAAGTAACTTCTTTTTCTTTTTCAGATTTTTCGGGAACTTTTGATGTCATTTATGCCATGCTTGTCTATACATAAACAAGAGAGCACCCAAATACACGTCTGTTCAATAAGAAAGTTCTCATTAGACTACTACTTTTTTAGCGCTACATGAAATGTTTGAAAAACATAGAGTCTACCTAAACCTAACTGAAAATTGTCGTAGAATGCCATGGACCATTGGGTTTTGTATATTTCTTTTTTTTTATCTAACACCAAGGGATGAAAAAATACTTACTTGAAAACTATCGAAATAATGAAAGTGGTTTCATTTAACATCGATTATGTGTCAATGATAAATGGCGTCAAAATCAATATGCCAAGCCGGTAGATATTAACAAATCAAATATTTAATAAAATAACCCAATCCATCAAAACCTCTTATAAAAATTTCTATTACAACTACATTATTTACAGAATAGTCATAATTTGTTATCGGAAAAAACAACATAATAAATGTTCGCGATACATGTTATCTATGAGGCGCAGTGGTTTTTTTATAGATCGAACACCTATATCAGTACAAAAAAAATTATTTTCTATGTATCAAGACTTTTTCAATCGTACGTGAGAAATATTAAAATCGAAGCATCCATTCAATTCAGGAATAGCATATTTTTTTTCAATTTTTCAAGCATTCCAATTGTTTATGTAATCAAAAAGAATAAATGATAACTTTTCGATTTGGAATAATGCACTTTAATTGCCTACGCACATTTATTCTTATCAAACAAATTATGGCTTGATGTATCTATGTTATCAACTTGAAACCAATTTCTGAGTCCAATCCATATGTTTCTTTTTTGGAAAATTTGTCTAGGAAAATTATCTACAATGGGTTATTTGTTAAGAATTTTTATATGAATCTGAAGACAATTTGATTATGCGTTATTCGAGAACCCTACATATTTGATTGAAGTTCAATATCACCTTGTAGCTTGTGGGATGTAGTGTTTTTCATCTGAACGCAATTATTATGAAAATGTTCAGTACGATTCTACATAGTACATTGTTAAATATAATATAACTATCATTGTCATATCGATATAACTACCATAACTAGTAGTTAATACTAACTGTAGAGGTGAGTACTTGGATTTCTTATGTAATGACTAGGTTCAAAGCCGATATGATTATTATTGAGATTTAAATTGGCTTAAAACTCGCTTAGACTGTTTTTCTTAAAAATAAAAATTCTTCGATTTTATCGATTATCACAATGCTCCGAAGAAAATGTGTACGTTAAGAACAATAAATGAATTTGGATTATTCTCATATTCCATATAATTTTTGTATTTGCCACGTGAATTTACATCCGTAAGAGTGTTTACGTGGCTTTGATAAACGCAAAGAAAAAAAAGATCCAAATAGGTGAAAAATGGACAGTTAGCGGTAATTGGTTGGGTTAACACGTATAATAATTTTGCTTGCAATACAACACATAAAATTGTACATTTCCGTACCTTTCTCCTGCGATTGCTCCAATTTATTAATATATTTGACAAATGCGTATATTCGACACATTATGGAATCAAATGAACATTTCATGGCATGAAAATAATTTTCGATAAATAAATAGTAACTCTCACTGGTTGACAAATTACACCATTTAATGAATAATTTAACGATGCGAGTATACGTATTGTGATATGTGTGTGTGATGATCAATTTGCTTCAACATCAAATATGGATAAACGTGCTAATTAACGGTTGACCATCGTTGTCTATCGGCCAAATATTTCAGAATTCATATGAACTTTATGCTTTTGCTGTCGAATTTATCAAAAACAGTAAATAACAGTTCAAAGACAGAAAACAGAAGCAATTTCAAATTTATACATATATTAAAGGCTTTGATTTAACCGCATTAACATTTAATTAATGTTATTAAAACTGTAGATGAATGAAAAAAAAAAAACCGAAGCAACAAGAAGTTTTATTTTGCCGTAAGCACCAACTGTTCTACTGATTATGACATTTTGTGAAGTTTTTTATTTTCAAAAAGAGCCGGAACTTTACATTTCATTAGATTGTTAAACAAAAGATGCAAATTGGTTGTGTGTGCGTGTGAATTACGTCAAGTACGAATAAAAGGCTCAAGTTTTCGTAAGACTTTTTGGAAGAAATCAACCGCTTGGAGGGCCAGTTAATGATGATGTTTTCTATTGCGCTTAACTTTTGATTAAATGCGTGTGAATATATGCGAAGGTGGTGGAGTAGCTCGTGTTTCGTTTCGAATGTTGAAACGGCTATTCATACATGCGCTTTTGTGGATGACTGTATTATTTCCAACTTACTGCAGTCAGCTATAAAGTGGTAAAACGGTACGCTGGAGCACTTCATTCATACATTCGAACTTGAACGGTAAATACCTTTGCACGGTAGAAATCTTACGCGGAATTTGAAGCCGACTCTATATTATTTTTTGGTGAATTTATTTCGAAAAGGTTGTAAATAGATTTTTGAGCCATTTGTGTTTTGAGAGATTTCATTTTTAAGACGATCAATCGCATTTTCCTTATTAAACAAAATACTGGTGAGTGGCCATTATCATACATTTTTTTTAGTTTTTACCATTTAATGAGATCACTTAATATTAGCTGGTAAATATTGCATGATCCTTTCATTATTTATGTCAAGTTAATTTTGTCCTTATTTTACTGCTTTCGGGCACTTTTTTTAAAACTAAATTCATGTTCGTAGAATGTTTGCATATAAAAAATAAATAATTATAACAGAAGTATTAATAAAATTCAATCAAATGTTCGGTTATCTTAATTTTTTGCATTCTCCAAAGTGATGTGACCATAAAAAAGACAGTCTATATAACTCCTCGGAATATATTCAAAAGTGAATTTCCATCGAATACGTTTGTCTCACTATCCTTTCAACCTTCCGTCAACTTATTTCTTCCACCGCAATAAATTCGTTAATTGTATAATAGAATTTTACACTGAAAACGGTGTTCAATGTTGAACTTGATGCTCACTTTGATATCATATTTGTTTATGCCAATTAAATTGTTTAAATTGAATTAGTCGAGAATGAAGTTTATGTCAAAGAATTTAAAAATAGAGCAACGGGTATAGTGTTCGATGTGAAAATGTAACGAAAATAATAGCATTATATATTCGTTATTAAATTTGTGACATATACATATACATTAAATATTCAACTTAACATTGAAATAGAATGCTTATTATTACTCAATGCAGAAATATTTATTGCAATTTATCCATTGTGACCAATAAATATTTGAAGAAGTAAATTGAACTGGAAATGAAAATATTTTGCTTGATAAAATTAATAAAGCGACTCATATGGATTGATAGTATAGTAGGAAGGAGTAAATTATTTTGATAGATAGTGCTTGATATATGACTTGAACAGATTTGAGAAAATATAACGAAAACTATACAATTTTGAGAATAATTTCCTGTCAGTCATTTTGGGACAAGTTGAATGGAAAAATTAGACAATCTTTAGCAGCTAAGTATAATTGACTTTAGCTAAAAGCGATAGTCAACATGTCCCAAAATAATCGACTTGCTAAGTGACCGCAATTGTTTTCAATAGAAATGTTCAAATGAACTTAGTCAGCTAAAGTCATTTACAGTCAACGAACAAAAAGACGTTTTTGAGAGATATTCATGGTTTCAGAAGTTTTCATTGATTTCGCAAAAAAAATTAAGCAAGACGTTATTCAATTTTTTATGTCAGGACTATGTTAACCTTTAGTTGAATTAGTCGCATTCTTTAGTACTAACTATAGACAAGTGCAATATCTAACAATTCCAAACTTTTTTATTTTTATTCAACATAAATTTAAAATTCAATATCATATTTACATTCAAAACATAAATGTCATGCTTATCCAGATGCCAGACAATATATTTGGATATTGTAATCCAGATATTTCAGTTGATGTGATAGATTTAAAAGTATTCGCATCACTATAACAATCGCTTCAGTTGTTTTCACTCCATTTAGCCACATGTGAAAGTTGAAAAAAAAAATACGTTATGACAAATATTATTATATTTGTAGTACACAAATTATGAATTTCACTTACTTAAACCATGTTTATGTTTGCCAAGTTCTTCTTTTTCGCTAAGTTTCCATGTTGTTATTCTTGATAAATGCACCACTACATTGAAGTGAAAATCGAACCACGTCAATAATTAAGCCGTTGTTTTTGAAATGCACAAATATCTTTCTATATTAGAGTATGCTCACCATACGATCACAAAATACAATCGAAATAAGTGATGAGTTTTTATTTGCGTTAATTTGCCCCTTCTTTCATAATCATTTAAATACTAGTAAATAATTACATTTTACATATTTATGAAGCAATTTGCAAAATGCAATACTTCTCTGGTGAGATTTACAGGGTTACTCAATTCAAATGTCATGATTTGAAAATAATATTTTGCATTTTCAAAATAGCGTTACTTTGCATTTGGTATGTTGCATAATGAAACTGAAAATATTCAAAAAATATAGGGTAAATATAGGGTAGGTTATGTTTCAAATGAATTAGTAGTATAAAAGACACATTGCTCCTCTAAGTTCGTTTATTTGGTAAAATTGCCCCCACAAAAGAGATGAAATTGGATAACCCTGTATAAACTTGGTATTTCATCAATTTAAATCAAAATTTGTAACCACAATACGCTTCAATTAATTTCAAATATGCGTTTAGATGTGGAGTACTATTTCAATTGGCATTGTAATTTGAGTGAAATACTTCTGAATAGCTGAGATATCCGAATCATTGATGATTTTGATTGGCCAGTTGCATGAGCTGGTGCAACCGTATAAATGGTGCACTGAAAGGCGCCATATATACAATACAAGTCGAATAGTTAAAATACTTAATTAAATAATGTCATTCGGGGTGCGCAAAAGCTCATTTGAAACTTTATTAGTCGTTATAAAATTAATATGGCATTTTATAAGTAAAAGTCATTGATTGATCATCAAATAAACTAGAATGCATGTTATATATCATTTCTGATTTATATACATATATATGTAATTCGTTCATTTTTCAGTGTTCCGTTGCGAACTTAAAAAAATTAACGCTACTTTCAAAAGCTGAACAGGTTCATCAACAATATATAAACAACATGCAACATTCACCTATTTACTGCTTAGCCATCATATTCATCGCTGTACTAGTCGCACACAGCGAAGCAAAACGTAAGTATAATATAAGTAAGTATATTCGACTTACATGATCTTTATAATTGGTATTAACAAAAATTAAACTCAAAGTTTTGGACCAACAAATTTTTTTTCTTTGAAAAATAAATTAACCACACACACCCACACACCTTTTACCCCCAGGCCTTGAAAATTTTGAATTTTTGCGTCCAAGCGATTTGATAGCGTTTCCGTCAACAACTTTAGTATAGAAAGAATTTAAAATATGAAATGATAGCAGAAAAGGTTTCTGTATTAATTTTGTGTATTGAATGTTTCAAATCGATTTCCGAGTACTCTAAGATGCTTTGCCAACTTTTAGCATGTTCTAAATTGAATTCACGCTTTAATCTTTGTTCAGAGAAAAAAAGACGAACTCTTTTAAATGCAAATTTATTGGAGCTCGTGGCGACGGACATATTATCCATGCATGATCACAATATACTTGTCTGAATTTGATATATTCAGAAATTGAATTGTATGTCAGTGCGGGAACATTAAGATGAAAGGGACTTTTTAAAAATATTTAATCGAAAATGAAACGGTCAATAAAATTCACACGTTTGTGATTTTCATTAAACGAAACGTACACTGATTGATAAACAAATTGTCTCCATGTAGGTTTGAACCGTTTATATTTGCTTGTTATTTGACTGTTGTCAACATCAATAAGCTCTTATGCATCAGCAATATTTTTTATTTTTTTATCTGATAAGTACATCTTTTGCAAAATGCGGCTATGTCAGGCACATGTAACACAGGTTCATTGTATACGTTGAAAATGTTCAACAGACATTATCGCACTTTGCAGAACGATAGAACGAGAAAATTATGCATTTCAATAAAATGGAAATATAGGGTTCATACTAAAAACCCTTTCTCTCACCCCGAAATGAAAACATAACAAATGCACTTGTCTATTGAAATAAAATCGAACGTTCATGTCATTTTATAACGTTTTTGTTATATTTTCACTTCGCTTCTTGCGCACAATTCCTTTCCCACACTGAATACGACTATTCGCACATATGACAAATATTGTAAAGTCGCCGCTTTTACTTTGCGCTTTTTCCCATTTTGCGGTGACATGAATAGCGAGAAAACCGCAATGCTTTTAATTAGACAATTTAGTAGATGAAAAGGTTTAACGTGGGCACAGCGACCACCTGTTCGATCATTTGAATTCAATTGATACAACGACTTGTGCGTTGGTTCGAACTTAATAATAATTGAGTGGCAACAAATAGTCACCAATTGATGCCATTTTCACCGTATGTTCCGAACATAGGTCAACACTAATGAATGCATTGTTATTGAATGCACCTGGTCAATTGGTTTTTTATGAAACAATTATTACAGATTGTTATTCAGTTGCTTTTGCAAAAATATTGACAATTTTTCAATCAGATCACATTTTCCATTCAGTATAACAATGATATAATTTAATCATGAAAGATGCAATGAAGTGATATTCTTTGTACTCATAACGAAAACTGTCGCATGTACTCTAATGGATCACAATCGATGCAATCAAACAAAATAATTTTGCCGCCTTTACTATGAATTCTCTCGTCCTATATTTAGTTTCATTGTTTGTTTCTTACGCAGTTTCTTATTACAAATATTTCATTGCATGCATATTTCGTTATTTAATCAATATATTCATTTCCGTTAGAAATCATTCCATGTCTTGCTCAATGCAAGCGCTTTTAAATGCAATTGCACCACCTTCTTACATAAATATTATTAAAATACCGTCTTTTCAACATTCTAGAAAATGCAAAACAGAAATACATGTATTTTTAGCGTCGTTCAACTTTTTATAAGTGCTTTGTTCTATGACATAAGCTCTCTTTCTCTCTGTTTCACAGACGAAGATGTTCTTTTTTAATTGACATATATCCTTAATCGAAAATTGAGTCGTCGTCAAATAAAATCTTTTCCACAAAAGTCGAACCAAAACCGAAGACAGCAGACAATCCTTTTTCGTTTGATATTATCCTTTTTTTGTATTTTAGTTTTATTGTAAAACAATGTTTCTCAGTAGATACTACAAAGCAAAAAAAAAAGTTTTGCATTCAATGTTCAACCCGACGGAAAAGTTTCGAGTTTGAATATACAATTTTTTTTATGTGAAATTGAAAAGAAATTCAATCAATCCCAAAAGACCTGCTTAATTTATATCCATTCAATGCTTGTAATACAAATTCACTGCAGGTAAATCAAACGCTTAAATATTCCCCAAGTGCGAAACTTTTCCAAGTCTTTCTATTTAATTGTTAGACACCATAGAATACGCTTATGACATTTTGAAGACACTTACGCCCTTTCAATATTTTGCGTTATTATTTCCACTCAATACACTTTTTTTATTCAATTTTTCTAACTTTCAGGGACAAATGTTTCCGTATTAGCAACGTATTCAATTTACGATTCATTTACATATATGTCACGTTCAATTAAGCTTCACCAAAGTATATTTCAAATTCGAATCAAGAAAATCACCAATTATTTGTTTTTTTTTTTTTTAAATAATTATAACGATAGAAACCTATTTATAAGTGATAATGTTCAGAAAGTTGAATCCATTAAGAATCGTAAAGATCCCATTTTTTCAAGCTAATCAAAATTATCAACAAAAATGGTATGTTCAGTATATATGAATGTAATAAGGGTTATCGTATAAAAATTGTGCAAAATTTAATGCAATTATTATGAGAGAAAAAAGATAATGAGCATTGATGTTATCAGAAATGTTGTCTCACTTTATATCGAACCCTAAGCCCTTCAATGAAAGGCTTGCTGAATGTGTCATCATCGCAGTGGGTTTGCCAACAATTGTATTTGTGCACACTGTAAACACAGTACATTTTCGTTACAAGATAAACTTAAATCCACTTTTTCGAAGAGTTGATTCGTTGATCAACACTTGAAAAGTGCATAAAGTTTGATGGAAACATCCATTGATTAATCATTTCAGAAGTTTTTTTGACATCAGTTGAGGTGACTTCAGTCTGCAGACTTTGCATTGACTTAGTCATATTTTGGATTTATTGAATTGGATTTAAATGAAATACACTTGAAAAAAAAAAAAAAAATGTGAAAACTTATTTAATATCTTATGGTAAAAAAATGAGAAAATTACATTGAACGATGATTGTGGGAACATAAAATAAGATGTTAGAAATATTGGAATTAAGCAATACCAGGGCCCACATTCTACTGACGACTTAACCAAAACTAATATTTTTATCAATGTACTTTATATGTACAGACTGAACTAAGCTCCATTAGACAGTGTATTATGAAATTCACAATAAAAAATATGATGTGCGTCACTTTATGTCTCCCCATTGGCTTATAAAAGCAACGATTACATTGTTTAATCGAATCAACGAATAACTGTTACCGGAAATGTAACACGTACCAGATCTTTTATAGATTGGCATTCAGTTGAATGAAAAATTGTTTAACCGAATGCATCAGCGCCGGAAAATGGGAATAGAAATTCCGTTTATATTCGCAAATGAAGATTACATACAATTGTCAGCGGGTGCAGTTTACTAAAAGAGAATAGGCCGCATGGTTGTTCCCACGGCTGTCGCTGTTATTTCTGTGCGTTTGGGAATTTATAAAAGTGGGTACATTCAAATTAGTCGTGCATTGTATGGTTTTCGATGGTGTTTTTGTGCAATTTTCCAATTTCATGATCCTCGCACACCATAGACAAACATCAGTTTACCTCAATAACCAACGCTCATCGATGATTCATAGAAATTACTCAAAAGGGGCAAAATGAACATCGAATAAAGTAGATGAAACAAAATTCTCTTGGAAAGTTTTATGTTGATTGTTCCTAAAAGGGGTAGAACACAATATTATTTTGTACAAACGTGCGTTACACACATAGAGAATGTAAACTGTAATTGCCTTAGTTCATACCATATCTCAGAAGAGACACATCTTTTTATGATTATGGCATATTTTTTGGATGAACATGTGATAACATCTATTTTCATACGAGATATATGTAAATTCAGCCGAATGATTTAATGATATAATTTTGTAGATGGAACATGTTTGTAACATTAGTGAACATTTTTCACAACAATAAACATATTTTAGTGGTAAATAGCTAATTTGCGACTCATTTTGAAAAAGGCAAAAGAAAAAATTACATCAACTTCCCACATTTAGTCAGTAGTTGTTTAATTCAATATAACAAAAAACTGAATTTAAATCACAATTTTATACTTCCCTCCGTTTCTTTTGTTTCTCTATTGTATGGCAGGTGGATGTGCACTTTATGGCCACTCATGCTACGGTAAGTCTTAACATATGTTCGAGAAAACAAATGTTTATGCAATGAGTACATTCTATAGTCTGCAGCATAAAACTTTTGAATGATGAGCTTTATTCATAGAATAGCTGTAATCTTGACTTAAAATTATCATCCTATTCAAGGTGGTCATGGCAAACGATCTGAAGCACCACGCGTTGATATTTTGTCTTTGGATCCCATTCAACAGGATAAATCATATTCAAATATAAATAAAGAAGTCTTCGTGAGTAAAATTGATTGACTAGTTTTCTTATATGAAGTACTTTCATTATATAGTAAAAAGTTTCGATTCGATATTTTCAGTATCCCACAAACAATGAATTGAACGCAGCTAATCAAGTAGATTTAAACAACGAAAATCGCTGGAAATCAGGAAATCAGTTCAATTATGCTTTATACAATTTGATAAGAAGATGGGTAAATTTATAATGTTTTTTTTTTTTTTTTTGTATTTTTTTTTCTGTTCATTGAAACTGATTGTATTTTCGGTTCTTAGATGGATGAGGCAAAAAAGAACTCGGATGAAATGCAGCAAATAGGAGAGTCTGACACAATCTTCAAGAACACATTCGTCTGAACGTAATTCATAATGGTCTTGCATCCAGTACAATCGACAATTAAATCTATTATTTTTATCTAAAAATTCAAGCGGCAAAACAAAACAACAAAAGAATGATAAACAAAATATAATAAGCATATTTGTTGACGAAATTTGAGAGTGTGATCGGTTTTTATTTAAATTGTCAAATATCAGTTGGCTGGAATATTTAACATTTTTTTAAAAACCGAATCAACGAAATTTCGTTTCACTTTATCGAATGTAAGTCGATTAAAACGTTATATGTTATTCGTAATTCCATTATTTCGCAAAAGTATTTGTGCAGTTTCAATTAATAAAATGAAATTATGTAAATGTGATTATACTTTTGGTTTGTTTGGTTTTTTTTTTTGTATAATATGAGTTGTTGTCATTGAATATTGCAAATTGATTAAAAATCCAAATAGAAAATATTTTCCAAATACTACTCTCTTACAATTTTGAACATTCATTTCACTTCTTTTCGGTACTTAATCCATAATAATGTAAAAAAATGAAGTAATCAATGAAATTAAAGAAAAAATGTAACTGCATATTTTAAATGACTAATTATTTCAATAATTTTCATTTTTATTGAGGAACATCTGCCAAGTTTGAATATGAACAAAAATATGGAGTGTTAAGCTTGGTATGGTAACATTTTTTTATTAGAATGGTAAAAAAATAAAGCTTCAAAATATTTTCCGAAAATAATTGAAATACTCTTTTGATAATATAGTAGGTCCTCTAATTTTCGAGGTAACATTTTTCAAATTAAATTTACGCATAAATCGCCTTTTATTGTATCATTAAAAAATAGCTTTTATTTCGGCATATATTCAAAGACATTTACCATCTTTGGGACGCACAGTGCTCGAGGCAAATTTAAAACAAAATGCAACACATTTTTCCACCAGAAATCATTAAACTCATTTTTTCTGTTTACGGCCTCCGTTACTGCTCAAAACTATATCATACTCATCTTGCAATGCTTTCCGATAAATGGACCCAGAAAAAAACTTGTCGATTTCGCCACTCATTGTTTTGACGTCATAAAATTGAAGTCTACCAATTAGCTGGCTAATTCGTATCAACTGGGCTGATCAGTCAGCTCAATATATTGCCTGAGTCAAAAAGAGTGATTTGGTTTTTCAATTCTTTGAAAATGTTTCTTTTGTTTTCGGAAAGATTCTAATACTCACCCTATTCAAATATAATCTTCGATAATACGGCTCAAATATAATGACAATTCGAAGATAGATAAAGTAAAGAAAGCTGCGATTTTACATAGTTTCGAATCAAGGCTGATGACGGAATTCCTACCTCGGTAAAAAATTTATTTGTTTTTTCGCGTTCGATGGAAAAAAAATCGAACCATTCTTATTTTTATGAACAATGTGTGTAAATGAAAATGCTATAAAACGTTTGTATTTGAAATGAAATATGTAATTAATAAAGCACATGTTATGGACCGGTGTGTTATGGAAAACATATAATTGCTAGTTAAATGTTTGTTTTGATTCGTTTTCGTTTGAATTGGTTTATCATCATTAGGTATAATTGTATGTTTTGATCAATGTTATCATTTTTTTTTATTCTATTCTTCTTTCTCGAACAAATAACTAAATGAATTGCGAATATGGTAATATGTTGCATTGAAGAAACATTACTAATAACACAAATATTTACACATGACGTGAAAAACCATACTATAACATTTCAATCAATTCAAATCTCAACAAGAACATTCTTACACCTAACGTGACATTATATAAATATGAGCAATACTCACATGCATTTGCAGTTGCATTCAATCAATCAATCAATCCAAGTAATTTCTATAGAAATGGAATTTTCTTCATTGTTCGATTTCATTCCAATGGAAAATGGTTCGAAGCGTACAATTTTCATTGTCTCGGGATATTTGGTGCAATTTTTTATATTGATCCTTTTTTTGCCAAATGTAAATGGGGTTTTGTTGATTTCAAAAGAATTCATGATTTAATCAAACCATTTTTTTCTCTTGATTTACACTGTTAATTAGGGTATAACATTCTATAAAGCGTTTTTAGACTCTAATATGGATTTGGCTTTGGAAAGTTTATTATTCCTTTCAACTCATTTTATAATCAATACACAATTGTACTGTGCAATTTTACGGCGAACCATTCTCCGAGAATTGCATGTCTTGTTATCTGAAGAAATTAGTGAAAGTATGTATTTCTTTAAATTTTTGAACATTTTCATTAATTTTTTGCGGTTTGCATCTTAGGACAGAATAGCAGTTCAGGTCAATATTATTTAAAAATGGAATGGCTGTATTTAATCCTGCGAAAATGGTTCGCAATCCTTTTATTTGTATCAACTAATGTCATAATATTCCCGCCGATTTGCATCACTTTTTATCATCTCATCGTCGATGATTATGGTGATGGGGGCGACATTTGGGAATTGCCGTTGCCAATCACGTAAGTAGAAAAAGTATTGTGCACATTTTTATTACACATTACTTTGTGTGTATCAATTAATCAGTGATGGTTTTTTCCTATCTGAATAGCGCTAGCTATTCGCAGCGTCTGTACAGCATTGCTGCCCAGATGCTGAATCGACGCGGTTGCCGCACGCGTCTTGTACCACACAACATATTGTCATATAGTCTAAGTAACCAGTGAGCTCACAGAGTATGATACACTAATACCATAGTCAGTATACAAACGCATGTCGAACAGAGAAAGAACGCGAACGTATATGCTCTGTGTGGTACAAACGAAGTGTGTGCGCGTGCGGCAACCGCTACGATTCAGCATCTGGGCAGCAATGCTGTACAGGCGATGCGAATAGCTAGCGCTATTCAGATAGGAAAAAACCATCACTGCAATTAATCACAGCAATGAAATCCCTACTACCGTGCTAGATGGTGTCGACACGAGTGGACGGATTTTTAAATTTATTTGAACGACGCCATGTTTATATACTTGTCCATTACAACGTACATGTAACAGAAAAAACACACAGTCCATGTCCTCGCTAGTGGACATAAACGATTCGAACCGTCAATGTGAACTAGATCAAGTATAGAACTTTACATAGGATCATATACGATGAATATGGATTACACAGTCTGTTTCAAAATACCGTCACCAATGTCGACACCATTTGACATCAAAATTTTGACAGTAAAAATATGTGTTATTGTTGTTGTCGTTTCATAGCTGTGCAATTAATTAAGCGTAAATATTTTTTGATGTTCAAATAGGCTCCCGTTCCGAATAAAAAGTTTGCCAATTTATTTGATGGTTTTCATCGTATCGGCATTTGCTATTTGGTCAATGGCGGTATGTAAAACTACAACTGCTGAAATCTTTTTTCATTTCGGATTGCATCTTATTGCTCGTTGTCAGGACTTGGAACATTTGTTGAAAATCATGGCCAATCTAAATAGAAAGTAATACAAACTGATTTTAAAAGAGATTAAAAAAGTTAGTAGTGTTTTTTTGAATTAGGCGCCATGAAATTTCAAATTCAAACTATGAAATCCAACTTCAAACTCGGCTGGTTGAAGTAATAACGCTGCACGAGAAGATATTGAGGTTATATATTGAGACGTTTTGATCTTATAATTATTATGACATTCAAAATAACTTATTTTAGCTTCTTTCGACGTTATTGCGCAGTAACCAGTGGTATTATATTTTTTGAATTCACAACGTTGATTATTTTACTTGCCGCTGCCGGAACTTCAGTCGTCAAAAGAGTAAATTCTTTGAAAATTTCAATTTTTCACATTTTTTACATCTTATTTTATATAGCCTCCAACTATTGATGACATCAACGGAATAAAGTTCAATTTTGTTGTAATGAGTGCAGTTTGTTCGATGTATATAACATCCAAAATGGGAAACGAAATATTTTACAAAGTACATGTGAATTTGATATTTAATTGATTATCAATTGTGTCAATTGTCAATTGATATAGTTTTCAGAAATGCCGAATCATGTATACGCTAATGAATGGGAAAATTGGCCGATAAATTTTCAAAAATATATAATTGTTTTATTAAAGCTGGTTCAAAGGCCACGATATCTATCTGGACTGGGTTTGCTAAGGTGTGATCTGGATACATTCACTCAGGTTGATATAATTAATGTTTCGCATTATTAGTATGATTATCATGTGATGAAAAACTATATTTCATTATAGACTCTCAAGACGGTTACGTCATTTGTTTTAATTTTCAAGGAAATGTAAGCAAGCTTTAGTTGGCAAATATCATTTTTTTAAAGTAATTTTAGTTGTGTATTCTTGAAAAGCAGATATTATAATGAGATATTTTTAGCCAGATATCGTCAGGAGCTGAAATTTGGGGAAAACAATATAGAAGTGATTGTTATGGTTAGAATTACATTTACATTGTTACAATCACTATAACAATCACTTTTATTGTTTTCACTCTATTTCAGCTCCTGGCGATATCTGGCTGAGCTGATTCAGCTGGCTGAAAATATCTCATTATAATGTCTGTTGAAAAGTACCCTCTTTGGGTTCTTGTAATCAGATATTTTCTAGAAAGTCGTTGTAAATCAATAATGTGCGAAGGGGGGATTTGGATGAGAAAATTTTTTTCGCGAAAATTATTCGAATTTTCTAGGGTTTTTGATTCTAAAAATGAAGACCTTGAAGAGCAAAAAAAAAATAACGAAATTTGTTGTTCAGATGAGAGAATTTTTTGTTTTTGAAAAATCACCCCCCCGTAAAATGTAGCTCGCACATTACTGTTGTAAATGTAGTTAAATTCATAAACGAAATGATTGATCATTTATGAATCAATTTATTTAACTGTTCTTGTTTTGAATATGTTTGGGACCGTAAACAATAAAAAGGCTGTGGGAGTTTGCAATAAAATTTGCATTTTCAAAAAATGCACGGATATTTATTGTCCATTATATTTACAAAATCAAAAATGTGAAAATTTGTAAAAAAAAAAGATAAATCTGTTCAGTTATGGTAGTAATCTTACATTATTGTGTATTTCGTATTGAAAAAGCAGTTGATTTTATATATATCATTTTTGTCTTGATGGAACATCAAATATTACGTTATAATATTTATTAGTTAATGTGCCTAAACTTAAATACTATTTTCAAATATCTTAAAAATATTCCAGAGTATTTACAAACAAAATGAAAAAGAAAAACAATAATTTATTTAGTAGCAGAAAAATTGCTGGAAAAAAAACAATAGTAACTAGAATTCAAAGAGCAGAGGGCGATGTGTTTCAAAAAATATATGCAAGATTGTACTTGATATCCACATTAAAGAAAATGTTGCCAACCTCTAACTTTGTTACATCATTCACATTTGAATCATTTCCAAAAAAATTAAGATCTCCAGAAGAAAGTTAGGATTCACTTTACATTATACTATACAAAAAAAAATTGTGTCTTAATACATTCATTCACTATTTCGAGGAATAAATACGAATTTCGTCTTTTAAATTACGAAATATAATAACAGAATATTTATCAAGTGACGATTATTTATCTTTGATTTCAGCTTAAGCCACATGGAAGTTATTTCATGTTAATAATTCATTGTTTCTCCGACCACTTTTGGCCCCGCACACTCTGTAATGATTGAGTTCAACTCATTCCGACATGATAAAATCCAAAACAAAGAAATGATAATATTATGATTACAATCTAATCGATAGATCAATCGTTTGATGGTAAACAATCCATCATGTATAAATAATCGGATCTTTATGATGTTTATTTTTGTTCGAAAATTTTTTTCGATATGAAATCGACTCATATAATCACATTTATTTGGTCATCCATTTCAATTGTTATCAAATCTGTCAATGCAGGTTCATCCAAAAAATAGTTCACCCTGTTTATTGAGGTTGTTACTGTGCCGCATAGATTCCAGTGTGAAAATGTCCACAATTGCTTTTTCATCCTATGCACATACACAGCGCACAACGTATGTGATATACGAAATTAAACAATTTTAGCTCTGCTATGCAACCATATGATTCATGGATCCTAGTTAGTGAATTAATAACATTCCAAAATGTCAATTTAAACCAATTTTATCGAAAACATATTTCGATTTACGCTGGATGGCATTTTTGTGAAATATTTTTTTTTAATTTTTTGGTAATTTTGATCATTTGAATAAAAGTAATCGCCGATTATCTCAAAATACCATCTTCAATTCTACTGATTTAGAAATAAGTTCACATGGGTTAAAAAATTGTATTATCAAAAGTAGTCCTCCAGTCACCACTGTACTTGATGTACATTTTCAAAAGTGAAGTAGGAGAGGTGTTCCCATGAAACAAGCCCCTTTAATCATAATGGAGATTAATCGTTAGCGTTGCTGTTCGATTGTGCATGATACTGTGCTCTTGTTATTGTTCGGTGGAGCTGGTGCAATTTTGATCAATTTTGTCTTCTGTTGTGCGGCTGTTGCTCTTGTGATACGAGCTCGTGTCGTTTTTGATGTGACCGAATTTGTAACCGTTTGATTCTTCACTAATACTGGTGATGGTGTTGTGGTTACCGTTGCCGGAATACGATCCAATTCGGTCATTGCTTCTTGAATTGCTTTTTCCAGTTGTGAGTTCAATTTTCGGCCCCTATTGACAAAATCGAAAAGCAAAATAAAATTAATTATTTCCATAAATGTGAAACCGATTGTAATAAATTGTATTTCATGCAAACTTAAACAAATTTCTATACCATTCTCTCTACAAAGAATTTCAAAGCATAAAATGCATAAAAACAAATCTGAATGTTCTACTCTTTTCAAAATCAATAAAAAAAATGCAAGATAATAGCTAATTTTATATTAAAGAGTGGTCAATTTTGTCCAATAAAACACATTTGGTTGGTATTTTCACAAGGATTTAAAGATAAATTTTCCTGATTCATATTTTATCCGACATAAAAACTAGATTATAATAAAGAAAGAGAATGTCGGTAATGCAACTGGGCATTCTGGTTCAAGCTATAGCGTAGTAGTAGTTTTTTAGTTTTTTTTTCTTAAAATTACAATATTCTCACTTTCGATTATCCTTTTGCGCTTTATGATGTGCATCCAATCCTTCGGATAAGCTTTTAAGTGATGAAATTTGTACGAGTTCAATGTTTGATTTGCCATTTTGTGGTTTGATACCAAACCATTGTACCCAGCATGTTGCGTCTTTTTGTGTTGTTCGGCTATTTGGAGGTGGAACGATTTTTCCTGGCCACGCTGTGTGCCCACGTACAGGTCCCCAAATCAATTCACCAACACTAAACGTTGACGAGGAGCTTGTGCACACAGTTGGTGAGGTAACCGATGTTGAATTGGCGCTCGTGATTTGTGACGTTGATGGTGTCGAATTTTCTGCGAGTTTTTGAGTGGTCGTTTAGATGTTCGTGTGGTTTTTTTTTTATTGTTTCAATATATATAGAGTATATATAGCATGTTAATGTGCAAATGATTATGTGTGATGTGGATTAAATACGGCATGAATGTGCATCACAATGTAGAATTTGATGAGAAAATTATTGCCATATATTTATGAAAATATTTTTGAAAATGTTTATTGTGTTCATGAATGTTGCTTATCAATTAATAGATTTTACCAATTTTATGCTTGACACCAATTTAATTTTTAATTTTTTTCGTTATTTACATATATGTTGTCATTGAAATTGATATATAAGTTATATGAACATGGTAAGTCTTTGACAATTTCACATTTTTAATGATTGCTGATTTTATTTGTTTGTTTGGATTTGTTGAAATTGATATTTATTTATCGATTGCAAATTGATTTATAGATTACGGTTATGAGTAAATGTTTAAATGTTGTATTCTCAGTTCAAGCTATGCCATGATGGGATTTAGTAGGAAGCTCAAAATGTTTATTTATTTTCTAAAAATCCTTCCACAGTTAATTTATATATAACATACTATAGTTAAAGTTCACTCAAAAAGCATATGTAAATGTTTATATACAACAAATTAGCCATTATTTATATCCTCTCCGAAAATACCAATTAATTCTATTATGTTAGAAATGTAACAAATGTGAGTATGTGACAATGAAATTTGAAAGAGACAAAAAAAGATACGTGTTTAAACTGCCAACTCAGGTGAATTTAATATCTTTTATTTTTCCAAATTTCTACGTGAAAGCATGTGTACATTGTGTTTGCATGGTTAATTGATATGTGAATGATGGAAATGTGTGTAATTAATGTAAGAAATGAAAAATTATAAATTTTTGTTCTATTTTTATATGTGACAATGACAGTTGATTTTAAGAACTTTACAAATCGCGTTGCATAGTTCTTTTATCAACCGTGCGATGTACGTTGCCCGAGCTGTCAACGAACGTGTCTTTGTTTCATTTTACAATAGAAAAATATATCCGGAAGTTATTTTAAAATTGTCTGTATCCGGTTATTCATTTGTAAAAAATAAAAAGATCCGTTTGATCGTTTGTAATCGTTGACAGCGTATAGCATATACCACATATGAAATAAAGGCATGCAAAATCTAATAAAAAGAATGATGATCTCAATCGATCTCAATGGATTTTACGTCTAAATATGATAAAATTAATGGGAAGAAAATAAATCTGTACTCACCATGCAAATCTGCTTTCATTTTGTAATTATTTCCATTGTTACAATGCAGCGTCGGCGTTTGAATTCGTCGAACCTTCATTTCGTTCGGTTTGAATATGGGGTACGAATTACCTTTTCGAATAGAAACAAAATATTTTTTTAGAAAATTTAAAAAGTATCTTTTTTTTCAAACTCAAATAACTGATCGATCTACATTATCAAGCCGTTCAAATGATAAACAACAATGTGTTATTTTTGTGTTTTTCGATAAAATGTATATTGATAGAAATGTGCATGCTATATATCTCTTACTCCGATCATAATCACTAGATGGTGATTGCGCACTATCAGCAACTGGAGACACCACTGAATCTGGTTCAGAGCTTGAAACGAATTGTACCTAAATTGTTGATGACAAAATCGATTAAATACTTTCTAAATATGAAGATTGTTGGTAATTGATAAACTCACCATGTTTATATCACTTGCAACACTTCTTTGGCTTTCTGGTCGTTCAGGACTTCGTGGACTATGTGTTGTGGTGTCTGGTGGTGATGATTGAACTGATTGAGGTATATTTGATGAGAGATCTGTATCATTCACCGAGCCATTGTTATTCATCATTGTAGTTTGCTGTTGAACAATGGTGGTGCTTTGTTGCACGAATGTTGGTCCATTCGATTGCGGTACAACAAGTCCATTTAGTCCAACTGGAGTGCCATATACTTGACTGAGTTGATTGTTTCCGCTTACAATGAATTGTTGATTTGCGCTATTCGGTGACAGAAAGCTTTTATTCTGAACAATGCCTTGAGGAGTGATTAGGCCACACGGTGCAACATTTTGGATTTGAAGAACGGTGTCCGATGTCATCATTAAACTAGCCGGCACAAGCAACTGCTGACCAATCAAATTCAAAGGCTGTAAAATAGTTTGTCCATTTTGCAGTAGGATTTGTTGCTGTAAACGATAACCAAATTACATATTTAGAAAGACATTAAGCATTGTTTGAGCGATTTTCGAACTTACCTCAATTGTCGTTTGAAAACTTTGAGATTGATGATATTGTGGGGTGATTTGAAGAACAGTCGGTTGTTGTGATGGTGTTTGAATTGTCGGTGATTGTTGCGGTGACTCACTTTGAGGTGATGTGGATGTACTTTTTCGTTTTTTAATGCGTCGCTTTGAATCAGGCGATAAAATGACTCGTTGATGGGTTTGCTGTACAAATTGATTTCCATTATCCGAATTAATGACATTCACCACTTGTCCATCAACTGTTGTAAACGATTGTGGTTGAATAACATAGCTCGCATTTGATAGTTGATTTAAGACAATGCCGCTGTTATTTGGCGATAGCAATGCGGTTGAATTATTGCTTCCGATGAATTGATTGTTGGTTGCAATTACATTCGATTGATTTGTAAGAATATTGGTTGGACTCAACAGACTGGCTGTATTTGAAATGACTTTATTTGCATTTGCCGTTGTCAATATATTGCTTGTATTTCCTTGTATAACATTTTGATTTGTATGATGTAATACATTTCCATTGTGTGAGAGCAAACCCGAATTATTAATAATCATTGGTTGAATGGCATTCGGTGAACTGACGATGAAATTCGAGTTTGTATTATTTGCCGTAATCACATTGTTTGGTGGTTGAATTAGATTGGGACTTTGAATGACAACATTATTGCTGGTGCCTTGTATAAGATTTGAGTGTGTTGTTCCGGCGATTGTGTTGTCATTGAGCCCCTGAACGATTTCGTTGCCAATCATGTGCGTATTTTGTGAATTAAGTACAACATTTTGTTGACCAGAGCCATTGTTCACAACCAATGTACTTGCATTTGTCGGCTGACCGATGATCAGTTGATTTGAATTTTTATTGTTTTGTGTTGGCATCACTAAAATTTGACATCCGGACGATGTCATAATAATTTGATTGGCCGGCTGTTGGACTTGAATATTTGGCAAATGCGCATGCGATGATACCGATGATGATGTATTCTCTTGCATAACCGCATGAATTGTTCGACTATTTGAATTTTTATTATTCACACCGACATTTGTATTATAATTAACATTGTTCATTGCTTTACTAACATGCACAGCTTGGGCCGGTCTAAGAATGCGATTTTCATGGATTTGAATTGTTGTTGTCGATCCGTTATCGTTTTGCAAACGATTCTTGTCGTGTGATAAACCAAATTGATTTGTGGTCGTTGTCGATGTCATTGCTTTGCCAGCAACAACAGATGTTATTGTATTTTTGCCACTCGTTTGACCGGCAATATACACGCTACTCTGTAATTTATTTAAATGGTTTTCGGCTTGTGAATTATTGATTGACACCGGTAAATCGGATGTGACCAATGTGTCTGGACTGGAAATTGGTGGACTTTCGTTACTCGTTGAAATTGTTCCAACCTGTGATGGACCTCGATCATTTACATTTGATTGAATTTCAATTATCGCCGATACATTGGCCGTACTCGATGACACCGGCGATTCTTGTGAGACGGATACAATTGGTGTCAAAACATTCGATTTATGTGGCAATTGAATATATTGATGATCAAACAGTTTTGTTTTACTGATGTTGCATGTTGGCTGATTTGATTTTACTAAAATAGTTTGTGGCTGGCTTTTTAATTCATTGATATCACAGTTATGATGAACTTGGACCACACCATTTGGTAAATGTGTAACATCGACCGGTAGACCGTTGTTATCGTTATCATTTTTACTTGATCCACCTGTTTCTTGATCAGACTGCGGCATTATAATTGTTTGCTGAGTTGTAACTACTTTTGGATATTGACCAAGACTAGAAAATTGTTTCGATTGAGATTGAGGTTGATGCTGGCTCATCATTGGATTTGATTGATGATGTTGGTGTTTTCCAGGTATTTGTACTGTTTGTGGTTTTAATTGGTTTTGGGTGCGTTTTCTTCCAATAAATTCATTCACTTTAACTGACGCTGCATCACTTGAATTACTTAGGAAGTCATTGGAATTGGAATAAGGATTCTGTATTATTCGCATGGTTTGCCCATTTGATCCGATGATCATTTGATTCTTGGAAATGACATTGCTATCGAATTGCTGTATATACACATTTTGATTTTGTTGCTGTTGCTGCATCACAGAGATTTGTTGTTGTTGCTGCTGTTGCTCATCGTTGTCATGAGAGATGACCATATTTTGATTACCCATTGCATTTACCGCATCAACCGATGACCGTGATGAGCTTCGGCTCGTATGCATTGGCGACTGATGATATATAGTTTGTGATGTGGAGTCGGTCGATTCATTATCTTGCAATTCGGGACTGTGCACATTTAAAATGGAACTGTGAAGAATGGCAGTTTGATGATTTAAATAACCAGTTGGATCTTCTTTGAAATTTGGCCGTTTCTTTGAATTGTTATTGCGCCGTTTTTGTGATTCGTCTTGCCATGGTGGTTGTGTATGCGTTTTCAATATATGTTGCTGTGGTAACGGAGGCACGCGACTATTTGCATTCGATATGTGGTTACTTTCAACATTTTGTCCAGCAATACTTTGTAATTGCTGTTGATGATTTAAAATTGAATTTTTTCGCCACGGTGGCGTTCGAGATACAGTCACATTTTCGATTTGATTTTCCGGTAAATCACTTTGTTCAGATGTGAACACAGCCTCTGCACTGGATGTACCATCGGTTTGAGAACTTGAATTTGCATTCAACACAGCATTTATGTTCAGCTTTTGATTCGATGATAAACAATTACTAAAATTCGTTGGATGTATACCTGCAAATGAAGTACAAATAACATTTATTAATAATTCATTTCTTTGAACATATTTCAATTAATTTCAATCAAATTATTCTCATAGAAATTGTTTCAATTAAGAATCGTCTGTCATCGACATGATACTGAATTATCATTTTCAGACTAAAATATTGGTTTTTTTTTGTTGTCTATTATAATGCAGAGCACAAACAATGAATTTTATTGTTTGATTAAATAAAATGAATCGATTAAATTTCTATTCAGCAATAAAACCTGACATCGTCACGCGCAGCATTCTTTGAATAATAATTTTTCTTTGTCTGGAAATATAAATAAATATGTAGTGCCATTGAATGGACGGAGAAAAGAATGCAGGTAAAGTTTATCATAATAGAAGAACTTGTTCTTCTTGTGCCGTTAAGCAATCTCATAAAATGACTCATTGTGATGCAATCTCGGGTCTCAGCGCTTTTCATATTGAAAATTCTTGTTAAATTCCCAAAGATTGAAGCGAAAATATATCAGATATACAGCGGTTGATATTGAACTTATGGGTCAACTGAAAACTATAACTATATATACACTAAACTCTTGAAATTCCAAAGGAAACACGAAACTGAATCATCGTACGCACACTCAGACAAACAAAAAGAAGAAGAAAGAAAACTAGATGGTTAAGGATAAAATGTATCCCCGATTATTGATCGGTTTATCGGGAAATAAAATTGAAAAACGTACGAATATGCTGAGTAAAAAACGGATAGTATATGTTATAAGAACAAAGAGAACAAATCAATTGAATATTTATGAACCAGCTACGCTAGACAAAATAGCTGGAATTTATCATTTATCGATGAAACATTCGTTGAAAGAGATGACTGAAATCAGAAATCGGCAAATTTTCAAATATCTACTTGAGTGTTTTGTATACTTACTTTTTGTTAATTGTTTATGTTGCTCAATCAATCGTGTGTGATGCAAGCAAGATGATGTTTGATTTGATGCTTGTTCTGGAGGTATTTGTAATGGCGAATTAGGAACCTGTGAAATGAAGTTAAAAGATATTTTCGTATTTAGTACACAATATAAATGCAATTCTTCTAGATTAATATTTGTTACTTTGATGAAAGGTTTATGATGTTATGGGTAATTTTTACGATTTTCACAAACAGACAAGTTGATGAGTGATACCGTTTAAATTTTTTTTATTCAGTCCAAAACCCATTTTACCCAATGACTCATACTGACTTTGAGCGGAGTAAAAAAATTCTAAATTGTGGACAAATTTATGTAAATACGTATTCTTATTTTCTTGTATATTTGATGTTCTGAATGGGTGTCAGAGTGGTCTGGGATGTCAAGGTATACCAGACAATAAATTGTTAGTCGGACGATTGTGTTGTGAAAACGGATGTATATTTTTTATTTTACGTCAAGCAAAAATGAATAGAATAGCAAGCACATGTCACAATTGGCAAGGGTACGGTAGTGACTTGCACCGATTTTTTTTTTACATATATTCTGAATTGTATGCTGATTATGTATTTGCGTGTGATTTTTTTATTAACATCAACTCGGTGATAATTTCATCGTTTTTTTTTCTCTCTCGTTCCATTCCTTTGAACGATAAAAATCATTTTTCAACACCAACCATACTAAGTATTTCTTTTCATTGTAATGCCACCTTCCTTTATGATTTCGTTTTTTTTCTCGATGCTTCCATTTTCAGACTCACATCGTTGAACTTTGTTTGCGACACGCTTAATATTGAACGTATATAAACAAGAACGTGATATAAAACGAATTCTTAATGTATCAATAAATATGATTGCGTGTGTGCGATTCGTTTACTAATTTAGTGCATGTATAAGTTGGGTGCAATGTTACATCAGTTTCAATGATTCGCAAAATTTCATGCACAAAGTGTCAAATTAGCTCTTATACATGTCTAAACTTGTTTCGTTACCGATTGTTCATGTTCTTTATGATAGGTTTTAAATGTAGTTTGAACATACTTTGTGTACGTAATTATTGTATTTGACTGCACAGGCAAAACTATATTAAAATAAATATTTAATCCGATGTAACGTTTTAATAAAATCTACATTTCTTGTCGAAAAGTTTAGGATTGGTCCCTTTTTATCTATCTGTTTGATGTTTAGGCTCATTTTGAATCATTCGCCTCGTTATTTGCAAATTGCAGAGAACAACTTGGTCTCTCCCTTTATTCGAAGTTGTGAATCTAACGAACATTGTGATTGCCATTCGTTGTTCGTTACAGGGTAGCGATTTCATTTTGCAAATCTCAATGTTTTTTTTTAGTTCGATATCTAGATCTGCACAACTTCAAGTTAGGTCTTATGGTTTTAACTATCATCTCTTTAACCCATTCCATAGCTACATTTCACATACTTCCCATTTTTCAAATTCATACAAATTTCAGCCAGGGGTAGACACGAATTAATATTAGAACCTAGGGGTTTTTATCTCAATCAAAACACTGCGAATATTCGCAAAATATTCGCAAAATACGTATATTCAATACATGATTCGTAAAATATGCATAGTATATGTACCATCGAATAATATATATTCGCGAACAGATAAATTCCCCTAGATTAGAACATACTAGAAGCTACTAGAAGAATATTCGTTTTCAAGTCGATTCTTTCTTAAGATACATTTTTATATGGATGAAAATCCGTCGTATAGAATATATTAGGACTGCTATTCTTTCATCCATACAAAATAAATTACCAATACTTTTCTCATGAAGGGATTAACGGTGGTTTTGTAAACGAAATAATTGTGTTCAATAAGAAAGATCCATTCATCCTAATATTAGAAATCCTAGCAGAATATTTCCATTTTTGTTTGTGACATTTGCAGAATTTCGTAGCGATTTTCTTTTTGGTAAAAAGTTGCGTAAATTTATGTTAGTTAATAACTTGTTGTGAATATCGTATCATGGATGATTTCTATAAGTGAAGAAATCTGTCATTCTTACCTGAGGATTAAATTCAAAAAAATAATCGGGCCGAAGTGGACATGGTAAACCGCATTTGCAAGTGCCATGTTGTAATAAATAATCCTTAATTTGTTCAATTTTTCGTAAAGCTGCACCAGACGGACTGAAAAACAAACGAAATATTATAAAATTAATGTTAATTTATAATTTGCAACATTATCTAGGATAATTAAAATAGAACTTTTATTTATTAATCCCATTTATTATTTATCACTTTTAAAATGAAAAATAATTCGGGAGCAAAACAAATTTCAACAATGTTTACAAAATCGCTTAAAACTCTGCTTCGATGGAACACTGTCTCTCTTAATCCTTTAAATGGACCGACTGAAAAACTTGAAGTTCATGAAAGTAATTACTAACTATCAGCGAATTCAAAATTTATTCATTTTGTCTTTCAATTTTCAGTAGTCTATAATAGCTGATGCTTAAATTTGAATGAAAATATCATTTTTAAAATACCAGCGGTGTTCAATTTGTATGCAATAAATATGCATAATTTGTTCTCGTAAAAAAATGTGATGGTATGTTGAGCGCCTGCTCACACATCAATCAGAATCGCATTAACACATTATCAAGTCTGAAATGCGTTCAAACATGCACTACTTTGTTCATGCATTCGAAAATTACTGTTGTCATTTTATGGTTTCTGTTCAAAACACGTATAAGTTTCTTCTTTGCCAAATAATAATAATAATCATCATACAATTAATTCTATGATCGATGCATTTCAATCTACTATTATTATACGTGTATTCGGTGTAAATCGGCCGTAGTGTTAGAACATTAAGTGCTTGAATTAATAGCAGGCCAGTATTTGAGTTAAACATAAAGTTCAACATTCGTGAGTGTTCGAGGTACAAAAAATATATATCTATTAAAAAAATCGCTCCCATCAAAGGCACACATACATAGCCTTTTAAGGGTGAAATTTCAAACTAATATTGAATATCAAAATACTGTTCGACTGCAGAATATCATTTTTATTTGCAAAATCATACATTTTCCTTAATAATGGGCAAACATTTGAATGAGCTAGAATAAAAACCCGACGCGAAAGAAGAATCTATAAAAATGGAACAAAGCATATGTATAAAAAAAGTCCTAGTTCCACATTTATAGATTTTTATTCCAAGTCGTCTTTTTATTCTAACCCAATCATTTATGAAGGGGTCTAAAAACTGAAAATGTTGTAAATACTCTGCATTTTATAAAATAAAAGTCGAAGTCATTAGTGTCGTGGTTCTGTGTGGAAACAAAAAGAAATGTGCATTTCCCCAACATGCATGTAGTAGTGTATAACAAACAAAGCCAAAGTGCTAATCAGTTATTATCCAAGGGTGCATGAAACCACTCAAAAGTTGAATTTATTGCATCACTTTGATGTTTGAATTCGAAATACCATGCAAAGCAATTAAGATTTATGGAATAATTTTTTCGATTGAAACATTTATAAAGCCCATTTGATGTTTTTGAGGTTTTAACCGCGTTTTTGTTGTTTCTTCTTTTTTTTCATTTATTTATTCAACAATTACATCTGTTCTAGCTTCAAAATCGTCACCCAATGTTGCAATACACTGCAATCGCAATTTATTCCAAGTTTAAGAGTGCATAGACGAATATTTGTTATAGCATATATAAAATTTAATTGATTGTGCAGACACAATGCGAACATGTTTGAAATGCCTTGAATTAATGTGCATGTGAACGCGGCTTTTATTTGTTATTATTTTCTGTCTGTATATTAAAAAAAACGGGCAAAATACGAATCATCGGCGTCTCGAGAACATTCGTCTACTTGGTATATACATAAGTCCAATTTATAATTAGCACTCACATTCTGGCTTACAACAAGAAAACAAAAACAATATTTGTTTCATGTATGTGCCGAAGAAAAGGAAAGGGCATGGTTAAGACTTATTATGCACCGTGCGTAAGTATAAAATGTATCGCATTTCTGATATTTGTTCTTTATGACCTAACCAATGCGAATAAATAATAATAATAAAAAAAGAATCGCTGTCCACCTGCATGTTTGCTGCACTTGTATTTCACTTTAATGTATTTTCTATGTATTCATCTATGAATGCGCCAATCTTTTGCGTGTCACCTTTTTTGCACTTTCCTTGTCACTGATTTCCATTATGCTAACTTCCGACACATATTCTTTGCAAATAATGTAACTGTATTTCATGAATTCAATTGTTTATCCAATTCCATTTTCGGTACTTTTCTTCGGGTTGTTTTTTCGAAGCAATTATTTTGTGAATAAAAAAATTTGTCCAATGTAAAATCAAAACTGTACGGAAAGTTTGCCACATTGAAAATTGGAATCTACATCAAAATAAATGCTCGGCACTGCAACTAACAGTCATTGACTACACATACTTGTGATTTTAACTTCGCCTTTGCATAATGGAGCCGTCTACGTGAATAATATTGTTCCGGTATGAGTCATAACGGCACATTTGCATATTATGGGGTGATAATATAACATAACCATGTCAGAGCAAAAGATTATTGCATGGTGCTTTGCCATGGTTGGTGATTGGGTTACATTTCAAATGTTGTACAGTTCACAGATTTAACATCCGCATAAACGATTTCAGTTTCACATGACAGTAATTGAAGAAAAACAAATAAAATGTGTGATAAACAACATCAATGACTGGGGTTTGAAACCAAACTGAAATAAACAAATTGCTTTATTTAACTATAATTTATTGTTGTTTCATGTTACACAGAGTGCCAAAGTTGTTTCGTTCAAAAACACGTGAATCTTTGCCGCAGATTCTTTTTAGCAATGTGCTACATATATATTCATTTTTTCAAAAAAAAGAAAAGACATGTACATTGTCAAAAACACCAACATTCTATTATCCATTGATAAAATTAAACTTTTCAACGTTGTTCGGTTGTTTGGTATCTCTTTCGAATGAGTCTTTTTGTTTGACTTTTCTCCTTTTGAGTATTCTAATGTTTACTCTTCCAATTTTCAGTTTGGAATATTCACTTTATTTGGATTCACATCAATAGCACAAACCCAGAGTACCTCACAATCAGGACAGTAAGAAATAAATTTATTGCAAAAGAAATGAAACTGAAGTTACACAATACATGTATATTTGGGAGTATGAGATGAATTGTATATATAAACTACAACATGAAAATAGAATAAAAGTTTGCGAGCAAAAGTTTTCTTGAATCTATTCAATTCGATGAATGAGAAAAAATTTGAGTGACCAGCACTGCATAGGATAGCATCAGTAGACATGTAGGTCCTATTGTAGAGTAATTTAAAAAGTTGTACATTTCGTTCATCATCAGACCTTTGGAAAAAGGGAGTAAAAGATACAATTTTTGACTACGTTTTCAACAACACAAAAGCTATCACAGAAGTCATTCTGAACACATTCTCACACTCAAAAACTATTGATTAGAAGTGCAATGAAATAAATTGACCCAATTGGATAAATAACTAACCAAAATGGTAAATGATGAAATCCCCTTAAATTTTAGTCCGAAATACTAGTTTTCAGACATCATACTTGAGTTTTTAAGAAAACAAATGACGGAATGTGCGTCAAAATATAAATATTTTTTCGGAAATGTTAATAGATCGAGTTGGATTCTTCTTGAGCCAAGAAATCTAGATATAGCTATAGTAACGACACATCAATGGAAATGTGAATCACTCTTTAAATGAAGAAAATCTGGCTCTGTGACAACTCACGGGTGATTTTGAGCTAGGGGGTCATTACACCCATAAATAATTTGTACTCAATTTGTACTAATTTGTACTAACATTTTTAGAATTTGTACTAAACTGGAAGTATCTTTTAGTACAACTTTTTTTTTAGTACACATCGGATCGAAAAACCAAATATACCAAAAATTTGTACTCAATTTGTACTTTCTAAATGTACTAAATTTTTTTTGGAAATGTACTAAAAAATGTACTAAAAAGCAAAAAAAAAAATTTTTAGTACACTTTTTAGAACTTTGAATATATATTCAGAATCTGCATAATTTGTACTATATATATGTATAAAAAATATTCCGAAATTATTACATCGACTGTACTAAAATTACAAGTGTTTTTTTAGTACAGAAATTTTTATTTTCAGAATCAAAAAATAAATATACCAAAAATTTGTACTCAATTTGTACTTTCTAAATGTACTAAATTTTCTTTGGAAATGTACTAAAAAATGTACTAAAAAGCAAAAAAAAAAATTTTTAGTACACTTTTTAGAACTTTGAATATATATTCAGAATCTGCATAATTTGTACTATATATATGTATAAAAAAATTCACAAACTTATCACATCGACTGTACTAAAATTACAAGTGTTTTTTCAGTACAGAAATTTTAGTTTTCAGAATCAAAAACGAAATATACCAAAAATTTGTACTCAATTTGTACTTTCTGAATGTACTAATTTTTTTTGAAAATGTACTAAAAAGCAAAAAAAAAAATTTTTAGTACACTTTTTAGAACTTTGATTACATATTCAGAATCTGCATAATTTTTGCAATTTTTCTGTACAAAAAAATTCACAAACTTATTTCATGGACTTCATTAAAACCACAACTGTTTTTTAGTTGACACAATTGAGTTTTTTAGAAACAAAAAAAATATACTTATAATTTGTACTTTCTTACTTTTGAATATGTACTTTCTACTGGTATCAACACATTTTGAAAATGTACTAAAATTTATAAAAGAATTTTTTCAAAAATTTAAAACAATTACATGCTGACAAAGCACGACGACAATGACAGCTGGGCAACGCAGTAACTTTATTATGGTTGCCACTGTTTATTTTGGGTGGCACGAATTTGTCTGACAACTTATTACTGAATTAAAAAGTAAAAACATCAAACTCCACTTCGATACCTATTTTTTATAAAAGCAAACTATAACATTTTTTTAGTATCAAAAAATTCAAGTATGCCGTTAAAGGATATTGCATTTAAAAAACATAATTAGACAATAATAAATCTCATTGCATTTTTTAATTTTTTATATTTTTGCATACGATATTCATGCAAACATCGACAGTCAACTTCACTGCAAAGTTTCACACAAAATGTCACGT